AGGAGAACGCTACCTGCCCGAATGCATAGTGCCAACTGTAAAGTTTGGTGGTGGAGGAATAATGGTCTGGTGCTGTTTTTCATAGTTCGGGCTAGGCCCCTTAGTTCCAGTGAAAGGAAATCTTAACGCTACAGCATGCAATTACATTCTAGATGATTCTGTGCTTCCAACTTTGTCGCAACAGTTTGGGGAAGGTCCTTTCCTGTTTCAGCATGACAATGCCCCCGTGCACAAAGCGAGGACAATACAGAAATGGTTTGTCGTGATCAGTGTGGAAGAACTTGACAAGCCTACACAGAGCCCTGACCTCAACCCCATCGAACACCTTTGGGATGAATTGGAACGCCGACTGCGAGCCAGGCCTAATCGCCCAACATCAGTGTCCGACCTCACTAATGCTCTTGTGGCTGAATGGAAGCAAGTCCCAGCAGCAATGTTCCAACATCTAGTGGAAAGCCTTCCCAGAAGAGTGGAGGCTGTCATAGCAGCAAAGGGGGGACCAACTCCATATTAATGCCCATGTTTTGGAATGAGATGTTCGACGAGCAGGTGTCCACATACTTCTGGTCATGTAGTGTACATAAAATGCATTCTTTAGCAAAGTTTTCCAATAAAATGTTATCTAGAATAAAACGTTGACAACATATCAACAAGTCCCTCTGAGTAAGTCTGGAGAATATATCTAATGATAACCACACAAACTTTGGTGAATGTAGACGCTTCTGACACTGAGAAAATGTTGTTGGCGTGTGGGAAGAGTCTGACCTTCGGCCTACGCAGAATTTTTTGCCTACCAATCACCAAACGTCTATTTTGACCCAATCACCATTTCTTCAAAGTAAGTTACTACATATAGTACAGTTTGTAAAATTCTCTATGAAATGGGCTTTAAAATTATGTCAATTTCAATTACTTAAAAGTGGTTAAATTAATGAAAAGTTGACGATGGCAGTATTATATACTAAAGAAAATATACATTAAGTTTTGTACATTTTTATGTTTACTTTTTGAAAGCACTCATATTAAAGGACCAAAATACCAAAAAATCTCAAAATTGATAAGTAGATGCAAAAATGTAATTTTCAAATCATTAATTACATCATTTGGTAAGCCATGAGGGAAGGCAAGCTGCAGACATATGGATTTTGAATTGTATTGTGCAGTCAGATGGAAGAGAGTAAATAGGCATTTTAACGTCATAGATTTAGCCGGTGGTAACTTGTGGAATAGACACCGGCTGGAATGCGGTTTTAACCAATCAGCATTCAGGATTAGACCCCCTCCGGTTGTATAATAGTGCAATAATCCTTCTAAAAATAGAGGTGGTCAGCAAATAATAATGACCATGAGAGATGAGATGATTCTAAACCTGTTTGACTGCATTAAAGCATACCGTTATTTCAAACGCTATTAAGTAAAACAAACCACCAGACATAAATACTGCTCTTAACTTCTAATATATATATATATATATATATATATATATATATATATATATATATATATATATATATAGCAGTAGGCCTATTAGTATTATAGTATATCATATCACCTTCTCATTTGGGTTTATCCAGATTCCAGTTTATGGTACAAAGATGCCTGCCAGTCCCTGTCCCATTTATGATTTTGAGACACAATTGTTCTCTCAATGTGTGTGTGTGTGTGTGTGTGGTGTGATTTTTGTTAAGCTGTACATTTAAATGTTTAGACAAATAGAATGGACGGTATCCCAACAGACCTGGTTGGTCCAATCATGCTCACAGACAGTGCCGAGTTTGGTTGTGGATGGGGTTGTGTGGTCTACGACGAACAAAGCAACAGACAGAACAGAAGTCCTTGTTTGAAATCCACTGTCTGTGTGTGGTTGAGTTAGTGAATGTCCGTCCGGGGATATCGGTGTCAGGATACTGTCTTTTGGCACAGTTGTGTATGCAATTGTAATATGTTCACTGTAGCTCTACCTCAACCTATATTTTCTACAATTAATAAGTATTCCGTAACTGGATTGGCAATGTAGCCTAATTGTTTATTTTTGTGTTAATCATCAAAAAATATGTATTATTTCATATTTTGCCTCTGTTAACCAATTAAAGATCTATACCTATTAAAATAATGTAAAATGCGCACATTACGGGTGATAGGAAAATGTGGTAGTAAGCATATACTTCACAAAACCTTAACCATATACGTAGTAAATTGATTGTTTTATTTAAATTAGTTACTGTATTTTGGTTTTAGCTTAGCCTATGTGTCTATTTGCCCGTCAAGAAATTTCTGGTTTTGATTTTAATTTCTAAAAACGTGAATCCAGTCTTATCACTTGATATATAGGTTATGTCTAAGCTAAGTAAAAGAGTAACAATATATTGTTAATTACTATGTCTCCATATTAAATCAACATTTACGCCGCCATATAGGCTTGGACATATGGCGTAGGCTACCGGTAGGCCTAAGTATGCGCGCTGTTCCACTGTCGTGCTTAATTGTTTATTGACAGATCTCCGTTTATGATATCCAAAATGTCTCCATCTTTTATTCATGCACTCTTCCAAGAAAAAGCAAGTGTCCTTGTAAATTTAGGTTAGGATAGGCCTACAGGATGAAATATTTAAAGGCACGTAAATATTTCAAACCAGCCCCTGTCACTCATCTTCACAATTAGACCTACTATTTTCCCTCGGCTGTTCACCATCTGGAGGCCCTATTGGTCCTCTGTAGCTCAATTGGTAGAGCATGGTGCTTGTAACGCCAGGGTAGTGGGTTCGATCCCCGGGGCCACCCATACCTAAAAATGTATGCACACATGACTGTAGTCGCTTTGGATAAAAGCGTCTGCTAAATGGCATATTATTATTATTAACGCATATTCACCGATAATTAGCCTATTTAATTTAATTTTTTATAATTCATCTTTATTTAACCAAATGAACCCATTGATACCAGGGTCTCATTTCCAATGGTGCCCTGAGAACAACAGTTCAAACAATGTGAGCAACAAATTGAAGCATGATCACTACCAAATTACAGTTACAACATTTCAAGTAAATTACGTTACATTAAAAAGGGCAGTAGAAACTAATATATTCAGTCAATCAAAACAGGTGCAGTTTTCATTGGTCACGTTTTTTATCAGAGCCCTAAACTCACATTTCAGGACCAAAGATTCAAGTTTTAGAGTGACCTGTAGGTCCTTCCAGGACTGAGGGGCATAGGGACTGAAAGCAGTTTTTCCTAACTCAGAGGAGACCCGTGGAACCTCTAGTATCAACCAGTCTTGAGAGCAAGTCTTATAGTTACTATATTTCCAATTTAGACGTGAGGTGCTAAACCTAAATGGTTTCATGAATAGTGACCCCTTTAATCGTTTTAATCTGTCTACTGCTCTCATATAGCCTATAGATTATGTCTATCTGGTTACTTTGCGACAGCACATTGATAGTATAGACTAACAGCCTACTTTTATCACCTTGATGACACATTTGCTGATGTTTTCTTTATTCAAATAGCCTTACCAATTTCTGTGTTTGATTATTATTACGATACTATGATAAAACATGTATAGATGTTTGAAAATACTAAATATATTTCAACTATATCCATTCAGCAAAATTCAGCAAAAATTAACACATTTTGGAGGTATGTCTGTGCAGGATGGAGAAACTATGTCACCAAATAGCCAAGCGCGCAGCATGAAAATGAACAGCTTCTCGCGCAGAAGGCAGGCAGTTTCATAACGGCGCTCTATGAGCCTTCCATAATTCATGCAAAAAGAGCCGGAAGGGATCTCTCTCTCTCTCTCTCTCTCTCTCTCTCTCTCGCTCTCTCTCTCTCTCTCTCTCTCTCTCTCTCTCTCTCTCTCTCTCTCTGTGTGTGTGTGTGTGTGTGCGCGCGCGCGCGTGTGTGTGTGTGTGAAAGTGTGAAAGTGTGTATGTGAAAATAATATCGGGCTTTTCCGTCAGAATGAACTTTACCACTGTAGCCAGCCATGAAATAATCTGACCCGACACTTCAAACCATCTGCGCTATCTATCCGCCTTCTTCTTAACTAAATCAGCCCGTGCACAAAACGTAGTGTATCTGATACTAAACCCGAGTAGCCCGGCAGTGACACGATAGTTTTATACACAAACATTCCGTTTTTTCCCTGTAGTGTTTAGTAAATCACGTCTCGTTGATGGAGGGTAGTGTGCAGTGTGTAAATAAAAAAGCAATGTAGCAGCAGTGTTTTATTAGAAGAAGCAGATGTGAATAAAATCAGTCAAATGTGACAGCGTATCAAATAAAGGCTTTGAAATTGTCGATCGATGTACGTTATCAGTAGGACCGAATTTGAAGTGAATCAGTCCAATTGTTGTTGCATAAAATCCTAGACTGAACATCGCATGTTTTTGATGATCAAATGAGTCCAAAAATTCTAGCGCGTGGATGAATGGGCTCGATTTTCAGTCTGCATTAGCCACACAACCATTCAAGAAGATGCATTGCTATTCTAGTCTCCGAACATTCGTTCTCTGTTGTTTTTATTCCTTATTTTGAGAATTTTAAAAACGGTATGCTTTATGATCATATATGTCGTGCCTGCTGCTAGGATGTTATTTTCCAATGAAAGAAATAAACGTTTGTTGAACATATTGCGTTTTATTTGACTCGTCGCTTTTCTTCTTCACAGCTATGACTTACAAAGGAGAGGATGTAGGAAAACATGGAATCCAATTAAAGGTTTGAAGACAAAAAGCTAAGGTCAAAATGTTTACATTCTAAGAAGGCGCTGTCGAGCACTGGGAGGTGCTGAAATCTCTTAGTGGCCCTTTCGGCGTGATTGGTAAACTTGACAGTTACTGACGGGCATCCATGGCAACCACGAAACCAATCTGCCAAGTCCAATAGAAAATCAGCAGAGGGGCTGACTGTCTTTTCCCCCTTCAAAATACATCTCGGTTCTAGTTTTTATACTCTTGTACTTTCAACCTACCAAATTCACCAGCCTATTGCTGCAGTAGCCAGTCAGAGGGCATCGTTCCTCAGTGTTTTTAACCGTTGATCTGTTAACTTTAGGATTGCCTTTTTGTCTGGATCCGACTCACAGAGAGCGAGAGGGAGAGAAGGATAAGCGCGAGAGGGGAGCGTGTGATTGAGAGAGAGACGGAGAGGAAACGAGAAGCCTCCATGTTTCAGCTGCCTATCTTGAATTTTAGCCCCCAGCAGGTTGCGGGGGTTTGCGAGACCCTGGAAGAGAGCGGGGACATTGAGCGCCTCGGTCGCTTCCTCTGGTCTCTGCCCGTCGCCCCCGCAGCCTGCGAGGTCCTCAACAAGAATGAGTCGGTGCTTAGGGCGCGGGCCATCGTGGCCTACCACACCGGGAATTTCCGAGAACTTTACCACATCCTGGAGAACCACAAGTTCACCAAAGAGTCTCACACTAAACTACAGGCCCTGTGGCTGGAGGCGCACTACCAAGAGGCAGAGAAGCTGCGGGGCCGCCCGCTAGGTCCAGTGGACAAATACAGGGTGCGGAAGAAGTTCCCTCTACCCAGAACGATATGGGACGGAGAGCAAAAGACCCACTGCTTCAAGGAGAGAACCCGACATTTGTTGCGAGAATGGTACTTGCAGGACCCTTACCCGAACCCGAGCAAAAAGAGGGAGCTCGCGCAGGCTACTGGACTTACTCCCACACAAGTCGGAAACTGGTTCAAAAATCGTAGACAAAGGGATAGAGCGGCGGCTGCGAAAAATAGGTATGTATGCTGCAGTCTGTAGCCTACCTTTGTATTTTATCAACGATGGTCTGAGGTTGTTACAACATTTATTGTACATTTTTTAACAAAAATGACCCTGCATTGTGACTGCATCGCAGTCAGCCTATGCACTTGCAGCAATTATTCGGGCAAAAATGTACATCTAATTGTTTGAATTAGGTTATGTTGTTTTGAGTAAACATTGAAATAGAGTTGACTATAATATATAAAATGTCTACCCTATAGTTCAGTTACCTTTTTCATAAATAATCTCAACGGAAATGACACCATAAACGCTGTAGCCTGTTGAAATTAAACAAAATGTATGACAAACTCCATTGTGAGACTAGCCCTTGTCATTTTCATTGCAAAGTTGACAATATAGATTTGCCAATAATGGCTACCCCAAATATCATAACACAGAACGAACCATAACAGTGTAAATACGATCACAGAGTTTCCCAAATTGACCATTATCTATGGTAGCCTATATCCTTCCCAGGAGCAAAACTGGTCAAGCATATAGGGCTATAGGCTACTCCCCGAGTCAGTGTCTCAATAATTCCGTTCAGATTATCCGTATTTTTCCACAATGCATTTTGTTTGTATTGACAGCTGTCTGTGTAGGCCTAAGTCTTTAAACATAATTTAACAACACACATGCAATATGTCTGAAACATTTTTTATTATTTTACATTTTTCACATTTTAGATTTTAGTAGACGCTCTTATCCAGAGCGATTTACAGTTAGTGAGTGCATACATTTTCATACTGGCCCCCCGTGGGAATCGAACCCACAACCCTGGCGTTGCAAACGCCATGCTCTACCAACTGAGCTACACTAATTGAAAGACAGAAATACAGGAGCCCTCCGATATATTATTTGTTAAATCATATCTAATGTAATTTGTGCTGATCAACTCATGAAGGTAGCAGGTGTATTGAATAAATCTAAATTATTTCCTTTTAAGAAGATATTGGAGTTACAAGGCTAGTCTGTCTATCTATAAAGTGTGCTCAATCCATAAAATGGGCTGGGGTTACTGTGTGTTGCTTGTGTTTGTGTGTTTACTATCATAAAATTGCATTTTTGGGCTCCTAGTCTGGCACTTGTGCATCGGATTGCTGGGCTACAGCAATAATTATGTTTCAATTAAGGATTTACTTTGACAGAACTTATTCGTATTGGATTGTGGTTAATTCTAGTTTGCCCCTCAACGTCTGTCTTTTACCCAGGCTACAGCAAGGGATGTCCCAAGGCTCGGTTCGGTCTTTGGCAGATGATGATGGAACCGTCGATCGACTCGGTCCAGCCTCCAGTCCCGAGGCAAGTCTGTCAAGCAAAGCCGCCACCTCGGCTATCTCTATCACTTCCAGCGACAGCGAATGTGACATCTAATGGCGCACAAGGCAGTCCAGAGGAGGAAGAGGATAAATTGACAGGAGATAAATGAAGGAGATCCTGAAAGACAATCTAACATAAAAACAGTCATAGTGCCTGCGTTTGAATTGAAAGAAACTGTTCTTCTTTGATGACTGCCAAAACATGAGGGTTCTGACGGAATGCCCTGTCTTAAAGCTATAGCCTGCTTTCATTTTGTTTTCGTTTTCAACTATGGATGACTGAAGCTAATACAAGCTGAAAGAAAATGTAAAGAAAAAACATATTCATATTCACGATCCCTTTTTAGGGAGGACTAATAAACCAATGCCTCAAGATGAAAAAAAAAAAAAAAAAGGAAAAAGGAAAAAAGGAGAAGACATTTGAGCGCCTAACCTGCTATTTTCTGTGGGTATTTCATGTTGAAAAGACGCTGTAATATTTTTTACTTTACTTTTAAAGTTTTATAAATAATGTTTATTTACTTATTTAAATGATTGGCGCTGTTAGAATTTGATATTATTTTGCTTGGTGTTTTTAATATTTACCTTGTCCACAGGTGAACCCGTTGAGCATGTGCGCTTTAGTGAACATGCGTTTCAATAAAAAAGACAAAAAAGTAGCCGAAAGAAACCTAATAAAACAATTGTTGATCAAAAGAACAAAACATCAGTATTTTTATTTTCAGATATTGAGAATGGTGTTTGTAGTTATTGTATTACTCGATTATTAGCCTACTTGATATTATTATCGAGTAGCGCCTAATTTGGCATGATAAATTAGATGATATTTTGGGGGTTTGGAAAGATATTTAGAATATGATATATGTGTGACAGACTATTTCAAATATTGTCCTATGACAGGCCTATAGTGTGATGCAGCCAACTGTATTATGTTGTGCCTCTGCATTGGCCTGATGGAGTGGTCTATATATCTGAGTATTTAGACATGTTAATAAGTAGGCTACTTAACTACCACATATCTTGATATGTGTGTGGACTCTTGAGTGAGAAAAATGAGTTTCTTCTTTATAATGCCACACTTTGTGCCCTGACACGTCCTCGACGTAATTGGCCAACATGCTTCGCGTCATGTAATGCGGCATGACAGCGAGAGGTCAGAGAAAGGCCGTCTCACAAAATGAGATGGTCTCGGAGTCCCGGAGTAAAAACAAATAGGCCTACACAACACCAGAATATGAAATGCGCTCTGGCTGACTGATGAGTAGTAGCCAATAGAAATAGGTATTGGCCATTTTATTATTTCAAATCAAAGATGATTTTAAAACCTATCAGATAGGCTATAGGCATCGATTTATGGATGATAGGCTAAAACGTTTCCTAGAATTGAATCTGCAAGCGACAGGTTACTGTTCGATCGTGGATCTGAGCCATTTTTCCTTTATCGTAGAATTAATGTTTGATAGCCTAATGTCTGCCACGGTTAGGCCTATGGCCGATTTTCTTATGAGAGTCTACAAGGTTGATAGCATACAACATATTTCATGTTTCAGGTATTTGAGTATGGTCTGTTATTTTTATTTGGTCATTAATGGTTCAGTTAAACACATGACGTGTTTAGGGGTATAGGCAGAAATGCTTGAAGCAGACCATGTTATGGTAGGCTGAAAAACGCAATGGCTATGATATATGTGGTTGTATGATGTTATGATCAGACGTGATGCAGTTTTTATTTTGTGATAGGGTTTAGCCTACCCACCTATAGATAGGCCCTTAGTGTTTTTATATATATATATATATATTTTTTTTTGCATGACGGTTTAGGCTAGTATTTACAACTAGCACACATCCCTGCCTATGATGAATATATGCCTAATTAATTTTCTATTGGAACGTAAAGATGAGGGTAAACCGTGCATACACCTGCGTTTAAACTGTTCCGTCCCTCTTTATATGCGCTCACAGGATGTCAGCCCAAATGAGCAACGAAAATGAGAAGTAGGCTACTGTTTTTTCAACGGCTCCAGAGTTCTGGTTTTGGACAAACACCTGGGTTTTCATCCAATTTGCAATTAATTACAGTAGCCAGTGAAAAGGACAAGCTGTATTTCTCCAAACATCTTTCAGCTGGAAAAACACAGAAAGCCAATGCAGTGTTTCGGGTTTTGGATAAAAAGAGAGAGGAATAAAAAGAGAGAGGAAGCAAGTGAGGGGAAGAAAGGGGGGGCTTTGAGTTTCTTTCAAATCATGGGGACAAAATGGCTGAATATTTCCGTTTCTATTGAAAATCAGGGCAACTAGGGGCCACACATGAAAAAGTCTTTTTAGCAGTCAATAAAGTTGTCAGCGGTAATCAGCACTAATGATGCGGTCTACGGTCCCGCGCAAACAAAGGGGCGCTCCCAATGTTTTGTGAGTGGAAGCAACACGAGTTTGTTCCCCTTCAAAGAATGAACTGCTGTCATGGTATAGTCTGCCAGCCTGGGTACGGAAGTCAGAATTTTTGTAAAGTGTGTGTGTTTGTGTGTTCGAGAGGTGGGGTGGGGGAGGGGGGCTATCTGGGGCAGCTGCTGCAATGTGAATTCGCGAGTAGGGCGATTAAAAGGATTTAGCCTAATTACCAATTTATGACTTGTACGTTTGCAACAGTCATAACACGTTAATTATGCTCCAATAAACATGGCGAACATTTTGAATAATGAAGAAAAGGCCTTTCCGTTTTGTACAATATGATAATAATATGTTGGATATATAACCATTGAATCGGGCGAAATTTCTAAAACCTTTAATTTACTATTTTTCCTTAGACCTTCAGCACTTTTATATCTTGGTAACATGATATCTTCTGGATTTTTGTGTACTTTGTAATCTATATATAAAAATTAAAGCAGATGGGACTCCAATTTCAATGCATGTGTCAACCATAATTTGAAAGAAGGTTCTCTTTCTCTTGAACTCCAATCCCTCTATGCTGTTGAGTCTTTATGATCGAATCTGTCAAAGCAGTTCAGCAGTGATACACATTGTGATGCGAGCTGGTGTCAGCACTAACAGTGGGCTATGTCTATGTGGGCTATTTCTCCTGCAGCAGTTACATGATAGTGTCTGGCTATTTACCACATTAGCCTGTATGTCTACACGCTTGTCTTGAACTGATTCTTAATTATAACTAATCAATGTTAGTTTATCACTAGGTTCTTTTATGCATATTTCTTCCAACGGTGATAGTAGTCTAAGTAAGACCATGTAGCCTTATAATGGCCTACAGCTAATGTCTGCATTATTTTACTCCACTCTGCCTCCTGATTTTTATATTAAATCCCCTGGTTTTAGGCTTCTTTTTTAATTAACACGTTATAGGCTATGCTATAGCCTAGGTATGGTCCTGTGAAAAACATATTCAAATATATTTAATATTATTATTATTATTATTATTATTATTATTATTATTATTATTATCAGCTGTAGTAGGCCTAAGTAATAAGAGACAATTCCAAAATCTAGGCTATGATTTTCGTAAAACAGACTTAATAGCCTAACTTGTCATAGAGTGGACCATTCCCCTCTTGCCTGAGTTTTTCCTGTTTTCTCCAAAGCGCATGAGGTCATTAAATTAAGGAGAAACATAAGTGCATTTAAGAGCTTGTCCTCCTCCTTCTTAAGGATCCTCCACTGCCCCATTCCCATCCCATAAACACTCTGTCCCGTCTCCCCACAATGTGCTAATTTGATTTTAACACTTTCTTGATGTCGTCTCTGCAATGACTTAGCTTGAATTTCACAATTTCATATTGGATTCTTCACTATCTTTGTTTTATTGGCGTGGTAGGCCTATTATTGTTGGCTATATCTTCGGCCAGGGCCACACTAACGTTTCTGCTTGTTCATTCAGCAAGAACAGAGCATTAACTCCCTGGAAACACTCAGCTATCAAGACTCGTGTTTTCAAAATAAATAAGAATCCTGAAAGTATTTTATACTCTAGAAAATTGCTAGTCTCAATTATGTTCGTTCGCGTTTGTGTCGCATGTGTTTTATTGAAGTCAGATACTGTACTTTCTTCAATGGAACATTGTCTCTTTCATAAATGAAGTTCACAGAATGACTCTAGTGAAGGGCTATTTATCATGTATTCACGTTTATAAACATTTTACATTTAAGAAATTGCATGAAAGCAGGCGTTTCACAGTAGGCTCCCAGAGAATGCTACGGATGACCTCTGGTGGTGATATTGGGTGGTAGCCTACTCTACAGCTTACTGGAGTGGAGAGACCCGCTTGTCATGGTAGCCTACACATTTACAATCACATAAACTAATCATTTAAAATTTAAATGGTTCCATTGTGTTAGAATGCATTCAGATTTTCAAAAGCTCTTTTTCTGGAATGCCTCCAAGCTCTAATAACACGAAAATAGCCTAATATCCTCCGCATAACCTGTTGTTTTATATCTCACAAAATATATTCAAACTGAAGTCAGACTGAAGACTGGCTTTTTTTCTGCACGCATGCACCTTTTCTTTCTTTACACGTTTACACCCGCAGAAACAATCAACCAAATACAAAGAAGCAAAGGGTTTCACTTAGTTGTTCACAGTATGTGACATAGTCTAACCCTAGCCTTTTCCGCACCCCTCTGGCAAGAGGCAGTCAACGGCAATTATGATGAGGTGTAGGCCTAATTTAATTCGGGAGATGCGTTTCAGCACCATGGACAGGGAGGGCACCCACCCACCCACCCCTGTACTGAAGTGCCGCCTGCATGCTTGTTCGCGATTCAGGCCATTGGCGTATCCGCTCTTTGTCACCTAGGCCAGAGATACTGTATATAATAACGAGATGGTCTTGTCTCCGCCCTAGCAATGGGAGTCGTTGTCGCAAAAGCGGGAAGGCAGGCGGTCTGCTTATCGGTCTGCTTATTAGTCTGCTTATCGCTGTATTACCGTGTGGATAGAGACAGAAGAGGAAAATAGACATCCTACCTATTTTTTTCTGGTTGATTAACTAAGCAGACCAGACCAGACCCAGGTGCTAATGTTTGGTGCCTATGGTAGAGCCACCCCGGAACTAAATCAGACCGGGACTGACCATTTCAATGCTAAAGGGGTGAGTGGGACATCTTCATTTATCCACCATTTTCGTTAGGTCTTAAGGCATCCGCATGATTGCCATCCGAAACAGTTAGGAACAGTTCGTGCATATATTATGACGACATTTTGTGACGTTTTTGTTCGTTTTGGTCTTGGCAAGGTTTTATTCCGCTGTTTGTGCACGCTACATTTTTTCTCGAGGCAAGCGGAAGTGTACGCCCCTTTGTAGGATATTGGCCAACAGCCAACGACAAGTATTTGTTGTCGTTCAAGGATAGACAACTC